ATGACTTTGTAGTAATAGTTTTTGTTTTAAAGTCTTTTAATGAATGTTACTGGGTTTAATAAGTAAATGTTTTTAAAAATACATTTTATTGATTATGCTATTACAGCTGTCCCAGTTTTTCTCCCTATGGACCCCTTGACCTGGTACCCCCAATACCCTCCAGCAACCCCCTTAGTTTAAGTCCATGGGTTATGCCTATAAATTTTTGGCTTCTCCATTTTCTACGCTTTTTTAAAAGTGATTTTTATTATTTATTTTTGAGAGAAGGGAAGGGAGGGAGAAAGAGAGAAAGAAGCACCAATGTGTGTTTGCCTCTCACACACCCTCCACGGGCCTGGCCTGCAACCCAAGCACGTGTCCTGACTGGGAACTGAACCAGCAAGCCTTTGGTTCTCAGGTAGGCACTCAATCCACTGAGCCACACCAGTCTCTATACTGTTCTTGACATCCCCTTGTCTATTCTGTACCTACCAATTTGTACTTCTTTTCTCCCCCTAGGAACTAAAAAAGAAATTTGCTTACTGAGGGCAACAGGATTTAAGCAATATAAAAATCAGAAGCTTGTCTGGCTTCTTAATTGGCTTTTCTTTCTCTTGTCCAATGGGGGGTGGGATTTTATTTGTACATTTTCTAAGGGTCCCAATCTGTTCATGAAATCCTTACACAGGAAGAAGCTGCTGGGCAAAGATTCCTTAAGTGACCCACTGGGAGAACTCTTTATCAGGGAGGAAGTAGCTGCTCAGCTGCCTACTTCATTCCCTTCTGCTTCTGCTGTATTACAAAATAGTCACTGCATGTGATGGTGAGCCCAGCAATTAGCGAAAAGCAGCTGTGGAAGCACCCTCAGCCATCTCAGCATTGGTCAGGTCTTTCATTATTTTGTCTATGTCTTTTTTCTGATTTTTCAAAAATCAAGGGAACTCTTTCCATGAGTACTCTCAGGTCCTCCTTTGTTAAGAAGCCTTTATCCCCAGCACATTTGTGAAATGTGAACATCATGGTTTCCATGGTGTGCTCTACTTGAGACTGCATTTTGGTGAGGTCTTGGCCCAAGGTGTGGCAGGACTGCTAGTCTGAGTGGGATGTGTGGGCCGGTTAGTCCCAATTTGTGCTTCTTAATCCCCAAACCTTCTCCCCCATTCTACTCCTTCTTCCCAACTTCACTCTCCAAGTGATCTCCTTATCTATGATTCTATTTGTTCCGCTTGTTTGCTCAGCTTGTTAGATTCACCTGTTGACAGATATGTTTACTGTCACTTTATTGTTCACAGTTTTGATCTCTTCTTTTCCTTAAATAAGTCCCTTTAACATTTCATGTACTAGTGGTTTGGTGATGATAAACTCTAGTTTTTCTTGTCCGGGAAGCTCTTTATCTGCCCTTTTGATTCTGAATGATAGCTTTGCTGGGTATAGCAATCTTGGCTGATTGTTCCTGCTTTTTGTCACTTTGAAGTACTTCTTGCCAGTCCCTTCTAGCCTGCAAAGTTTCTTTTGAGAAATCAGCTGAGAGTCTTATGGGAATTCCCCTGTAGGTAACTAACCAATTTTCTCTTGCTGCTCTTAAGATTCTTTATCTTTAACTTTGGCATTTTAATTTTGACGTCTCAGTGTGGGCCTCTTTGCATCCATCTTGTTTGGGACTCTGTGCATCTAGGACTTGCACGTCTATTTCCTTCACCAAATTAGGGAAGTTTTCTTTCGTTATTCTTTCAAATAGATTTCCAATTTCTTTCTCTTTCTCTTCTTCTTCTGGCACCCCTATGATCCAAAAGTTGGTACATTTGAACTTGTCCCAGAGGCTCCTTAGCCTATCCTCATTTTGGGGAATTCTTTTTTCTTCTTGCTATTCTGAATGAGTATTTTTTTCTTCCTTATGTTCTAAATCATTATCGATTCTTGGCTTCATCCACTCTATTGCTGTTTCCCTGTAAATTTTTCTTTATTTCACTTAGTGTAATCTTCATTTTCGCCTGAGCCTTTTTGATATTGTTGAAGTACCCAATGAATCCCTTAAGTATCCCTAATAACCAGTGTTTTGAACTCTGCATCTGAGAGATTACTTCTCTCCATTTTGTTTAGTTCTTTTTCTGGAGTTTTTTTCTATTCTTTCATTTGGGCCATATTTCTTTGTCTCCTCATTCTGGCAACCTCCCTGTGTTTGTTTCTATGTATTAGGTAGAGCTGCTTTGAATTCCTGTCTTAGTAGCATGGTCTCTTACGGAAAAGCGCACTGCTAAGATGGATGGGGTGAGCCTTAGGTAATCACTGGGATGAAGCAACCCATGTGAACCAGGTTGATGGAATCTCCAATATAGTGTTCCTGCTCTGTGGCTCTGTGTGGGGGAGGACTCAGAAAGAGCATGATGCCACTGTCTGGCCTGTGGAGTTTTGTCTGGGAGGAAGCTGTCCCCCCGCACTCACTCTGATGCCAAATAATTCAGTTTCTCCCCATATGCCACTGGTGCCTTTTCAGCTGTTGCCCCAGTGGTAAAGCCCAAAGGGAGTGAGTCTGTGTAAGTCCTTTGTGTAAGCCCTTTAGTTAAGTCTGTTGCAGGCTCTTTAAGAGGGGACTCCTGAGAATCCCACAGTTTCTTAGCTGCACCAACCTCCACTGGTTTTTACAGACAGAAATTATGGGTACTTATCTTCTTGGCAGTGAAACCCTTGGCTGGGTGGCCTGGTGTGGGGCTGAGATTCCCCCCTGATTTTTATCCATCATGTGTGGGTGTGGGACTACCTATTATTCCACGTCTCCAGGACCCCATGCCTCTCTGACTCTCCTAGCGGTCTAAATGAATGCGACTTCTTCAATTCCTTGGTTGTCTGACTTCTATACAGCTCAATCTTCTGATGTTTCTAGGTGATATTTGTTTTGTAGTCTAGTAGTAATTTTTGCTGGGCTTTTGAGAGGAGGTGAGTCATGTTAACCTACACCTCCATCTTGGGGGAGAGAGAATTTGTGACTATAATAAGTAAATTTCTAACATCTATCTCTTTCTTGTATTTTTTAAAAGAATTTTATGAATTTAATTGCTTACTCATTCTCAATTAAGGAGAAATCTATTTTGGCCCAAATATTTGCTAACAATAATGTATGACTTGCCCTTGGCCCCAAACTCTCATTGGGTCCTTCTCATATCTGTGGATGTACAACACATTAATAAATAATGGCTATTAGAACAATTCCAAGGCTTTCATGTAGAGTAACTTCATTGGTCTAAGAAAGGACTGTTTTTTTCAGAATAGCTGAAGAACATGAAAAATCTCAACTACAATCTCAAGTATGTATAGTTACCAGTTCTCTTATTTTATTAGGTATTCAGTACTTTATTTACAAAAAAAATATTTCTAGGAAAAAATGCACCACCCCTCCCTTGAGTCATTTTCCTATCCCATCACTGTCCAATTTTGTTCAAAGTTAATGCCTCCAAATAGATGAAATAGTTATGGATATGAATAGGGAGCAAGACATTAGAGGCCTCCAAAAGTATTGAGACACCTGATCAAATTTGTTGATAAAGATATCTGTCTTCTGAAACAGGGGGCTGAAAGTGGTAGAAAGATGAAAGATTTTCCTACCCTCACTCAACTGAGTGGGCTAGGCTTATTTTAGTTGTGATAGCCATTAAGTATGGTTTTAAAATCATAGCCTTGCAAGTAATAGAAATTTCTTCCAGTTTCTGGCTAAAGGCTTAATAATCAATCCTAATATGTGGTAATATGAGCACTTTTATGATTCTTTCTTTCAGTGGCATCACTGGGGAATTAAGAACAGTTATACCAGGGGCTTTAACTCAATTACTATCAGATACTAGTTTTGTCCCCTCAAAATTAACTGGGCCCCCCAAAAAACCAAACCAAAACTAAAACCAAAACCCCCCCAAAACAAAACTGCCTAAGACCAGAACAACTTATCCTTTCTGTGTAACTTCTGCACATATAAAGATGCCTTAGACAAGTCATGTAAAAAATAATTTGTATCTAAACTGAATCAAGTCATCTCCTGTAAACCACTCAAAATGTTATTCCATCAATCAAAACCCCACACAACATTAATTTGGTATCCTTATTATAAAATCCCATGGGAAATATTTATTGAGAACTCCAGGACGTATTCTTCATTTTCTAGATTTGCAGTTGCCCTGGGATGATCTCACAGGGGTGCTATGGGATATTTCAAAATTCTAGGGAAACAACAATGATATTTGCTACCTGGTGTACACTACACAAACTACTAGCTTAAGGTAAAGTTTCAACATTAAATAGTGTACATTCCTTTCAATACTATCGTACCTTTATAAACTTGATTTTGACAGTTTCTGAAATAAAAGCAGGAAAATAGGGTGGTTATGTCCAATTTTATGTTAAGGTTTGAGAAGGTGTACAGTACTTAGCTGCTTCACATATCTCATTAGTAAATAACTGGTTATTCATGAACAAAGTAAGTAACTGGTTACTTCTACGTGACTTGTCTAAGGAATCTTTATATGTGCAGAAGTTACACATTTAAGGAAAGGATAAGGATAAGTTGGAAAGGATAAGTTGTTCTTTAAAAAAGTAAAACCAAAACCTAGTATTTTTATTTTTTTATGTTGTCAGATCACAACAAGTATTTGTATCCTAATAACATACTAGCTATTTGAAAATACACTTCTTGTAATTATATGAGTTCCACATAATGATGAGGAAAAATAATCACTGAAATACTGAGGGCTGTGTAAAAAGAGAAAACTTGGAAAACTTTGACTTAGAGTTCATTAACTCAAACAAAAAATTGTCCATACAATTTTCTTCATCAAATATTTAGTATATTTGTTTAAGTGTACATAATATATCTGACCAAATAACTTGCCTATCTGAACCAAAGACTGAGGCATGGAAAGCTCCATATTTCCCTGAAACATTAAATAGCATGAACTTTCATATGTCATTCCAGAATTAACTAGCCAATTCACATATAAAATTTCAAAACAAAAATTTTAAATAATTCTGTAGAGTACCTGAGTGTGAGCTCTCAATGGTGGTGGCTGATGTAGAATCCAGAGATGAAGGAATTTGACTTAAGTGTGGAACATAGTACATCTTTGTACTGCCAGAGGGTTTATACGGCAACAGTGAAGGCTGGGCTAAGGAGATAAAGATCAGAACAATAAATAAGAAAACATTTAATAACTCAAAGAACAAATACTGAGTGCCTTCAATGTGCCAGATTTCTTGGAATCTATCAGTGAACTACACAGAAAAGTACCTCTGCCTTAAGAGGAAGATAATATACAGTAAACAGCATACTATATAGGTAAATTACCTAGTATTTTAATAAATTACAAGTCATTTAAAGAAAATAATTAGAAAACAATGAGGGCAATTAGGAGTACCAAAAAAACTGGGGCAGGATGTAGGGCTAGCAAAGTCTCAGACTATTTAGGAATACTTATATAACTCCACCAGGCAAAAACAAAACTACTACCAAAACAAAACAAAGAAAAACTAAAACCAACAACACACACACACGCAAAGAAGTGCCCCCCAAAACCTAGCCAACGAGAACTTGACTGAAGTTAAGAAGAACAAAATGTCTGTAAAGGAGGGGAGAATTTAAACAACAGAAAAATCAGCTGTAGCCTACACTTCTATTTGTTCATTGCTATAATCATTATTGTTAGAATGTGGTTTTATTAATTTTCTTCTACCAGTGTACATAAAGCTTGATAGTGATGGTCAAATTTACCATTTATTTCAAAGGCTGCAGAAAATGAGTAACAACACTTGGGCAGAACTACAATGGACCCAGAGCAAGAACAGTTATGATATGAAGATAGAAAATTCTGAGAAAGATAAGTGGCTTTTTAAAATTCTTATCAAACAGAGTTTATGTATGGATGCAATAGTCTTAGGGATAGTTTGGACTGCCTATTTTTTTTGGGGAAGACGTGACTACAGAGCAAATAACAGTTGCTTTTGGGAAGGAAAGAAATGAAAAGGGTTATAGAAAGTTCAACTATAAATTTCTTCAAAAAAACTTAAAAATAGAACCAAATAGAAACATATAGTGAATTATTACAAATTTGTTAATTCATAACAAATGGGCAGATAATCATGTATTTAATGTATCATTCTTTGTACTTAAAATGGTTTCATATTAAAAAAACAATAAAATTTTACTTTTTAATCCAAGGTACTAAAAATATTTTATTAGTAAACCAAATAATATTAGTTCTTCAAAGGGTGCTCCCAGGTATCTGTACATAAAAGTAATACCATAAATTGTGGCTGCTATACAGATTAATCCATTTTGATGTGAGTAAAGGTTTAAAATACACTGTCATGGTTGGGTGTCCCCTCTTCTGCTTCTGACACCACTATAAAAACAAGGGCAGTAACTGCTGCATTAGCCTGGGTTTCAGAACAAATCAAGTGGAATAGAAGCAAGCCATTTCTGTGGCCTAGAGCCAAACTCCAAGTGACACACAAGCCAGTGAGTGAGAAAAGCAAATGTTTGTTGTTACAAATGGCTAAGATTTTGAGGGTTGTTATATAGTATCACTGTGGCAATAGGTAAAAGACCCATAGTGTTCTTTGTGATATTTATTATTTTTAATATATTTTATTGATTATGCTATTACAGTTGTCCCATTATGCCCCCTTCACTCCCCTCCACCCTGCACACCCCCTCTCACCTACATTTCCCCCCTTAGTTCATGTCCGTGTGTTATAAGTTCTTTAGCTTTTATATTTCCCATACTATTCTTACTCCCTCCCTATTTTCTACCTACCGTTTATTCTACTTATTCTCTGTACCTTTTCCCCCCTCTCTCCTCCTCCCACTCCCCTGTTGCTAATCCTCCATGTGATCTCCATTTCTGTAGTTATGTTCCTGTTCTAGTTGTTTGCTTAGTTTGCTTTTGTTTTAGGTGTGGTTGTTAGTATCTGTGAGTTTGCTGTCATTTTAGTATACGTGTTTTTCATCTTCTTTTTCTTAGATAAGTTCCTTTAACATTTCATATAATAAGGTCTTGGTGATGATGAACTTCCTGAACTTGACCTTATTGGAGAAGCACTTTATCTACCCTTGCATTCTAAATGAAAGCTTTGCTGGACAGAGCAATCTTGGTTGTAGGTCTTTGGATTTCATGACTTGGAATACTTCTTTCCAGCCCCTTCTTGCTTGTAAGGTCTCTTTTGAGAAATCTGCTGACAGTCTGATGGGAAGTCCTTTGTAGGTAACTTGTCTCCTTTTCTCTTGCTGCTTCTAGGATTCTCTCCTTCATTTTAATCTTGGCTAATGTAATTATGATGTGTCTTGGTATACTGGGTGCAACTTCTTTGGGACTCTCTGAGCTTCCTGGACTTCCTGGAAGTCTATTTCCTTTGCCAGATTGGGAAAGTTCTTCTCTATTATTTGTTCGAGTAAGTTCCCCACTTGTTGCTCTTCCCCTCCCCCTTCTGGTACCCCTATAATTCGTATGTTGGAACATTTAAAGATGTCCTAAGGTTCCTAAGCCTCTCTTCATTGTTTTGAATTCTTGTTTCTTCATTCTTTTCTGTTTGGTTGTTTCCTTCTTCCTTCTGGTCCACTCGATTGATTTGAGTCCCAGTTTTCTTCCCATCACTGTTGGTTCCCTGTACATTTTCCTTCAATTTTGCTTGGCATAGCCTTCATTTTTTTATCTAATTTGCAACCAAAATCAACCAACAGTGAGCATCCTGATCACCAGTACTTTAAACTGCACATCTGATAGGTTCGATATCTCTTGGTTGCTTAAAAGTATTGGCTATGGGGCTTTGATCTGTTCTTCCATTTGGGCCAGTTTTTTGGGGGGGTCTGGTTGCACCTGTTATGTAATGAGGGGCAGAGCCTTAGGTATTCAGGAGGGTGGGGCAACCCAGTGACTGGGTTGTGATGCTGTTAAGTGGGGGCTGTTAAGAGGGAACAATGGTGCTTGCTCCCCTCTCTGCCAGATTTCAGTCCCTTCTGCCACTTCCCACAAGCAAATTGGGCCCTTTTGGTGCTGGTTCCTGGGTGGGTAGGCCTTTGTACATTCTAGGACCCTATGGATTTCTCCAATGAACTCTCCTGTGAGGCTGGGAGTCTCTCCTGGCACCTCACCCTCAAGAAGTGTTTTCAATCAGTGCTTTTAGGCTTTATTTCCCTGGTGCTGGGACTCTTGGTTGTGTGGTCTGTCTCACAGCCTGTTTCTGCTTGGTTTATCTGGGAGCAAATGTGTGCCTGCAGTCAGCCAGCCACCTTAGGGATCTCTGCTCGCTGCCTCCTGCACCCAGGGTCTGCCAGTTGCCACCTGCGTGCCAGTCCACCAGCCACAGCTTTTTCCTATTGTGACCCTTCTCTGCTGGGAACCGACTGCGCCCCTCTTGCTGGTCTGGATGAATGGTTGTTGGACTTCTGTACAGTTCACTTTTCTGTCAGTTCTGGTTGTTTCTGTGTTTCTAAATTTTTGTTGTCCTTAATTTTGGTTGAATGAGGAGGCACAGTGTGTCTACCTATGCCTCCATCTTGGCCGGAAGTCTCTGTGATATTTATTAAAGTGTATAGTTTGGCAGTTTTATTTCACAATAAAAATGTATAAGAAGTATAACCATCTTAACATATACATATACTTATTTAAATTAAATTCAATGCAATTTAAATGGGGAACCAAGCGATCTTCTTTATCCATTTAGGCATATTCCATCTATATCCACACACAGATAATCTTTATGCATAAGTAGGAAAAATTTTAAATAGATTAAAAAAATAAATGTTTAAAAATTTAAAATAATTTTAAATGGATTTAAATAGATTTGTGCAAACTATTATACTTTATAATTAGTAATCTATAGTTTCCATTCTCACTTGGGGGAAGAATGGAAACTTAATTGTTAATTTTCCTGTTATTGGCCTGAAAAACAAAATAACTTACCCTAATTTTGAATATTATATAGTATAAGTACTACTGCAATATCCTATAACAATAATAGCATAGCACTCTCAATGTAGACTTTATGTTAGAGATGGCTAGCTGCTCACCAAAATCCATCTCTTCTTCACCATACAAAACACAGCTAAACTATTCCTATACTGTGGAAAGTAATCCAGGCCACTTTCAGGCCTATCCCACACAAACTTCCCACATGCACTCTTCCATGGTTTTTGTCCCTTCCAGCTGACTGTGATAGTGAGCTCAAGGTAATCATAGGTTCCATGTTTCAAGGACAATAGATCCGCAGCCAACCTGGGTATCTGATCAGTGTTTTATGATACTGTATTTGCACTATCACATTTATTTGTATCTATTTATTATAATATTAATATTAACTGTAAGACAAAATGCCACAAATTCACCTACCTACCTAAAATTGAACCACTATAGGTTTTTTTTTAATACTCACCCAAGAATATACTTATTGAAAGAGAGAGAAACACTGATTTGAAAAAACATCCATCAGTTGCCTCCCATACGCGCCCTGACCAGGGATTGAACCCACAGCCTAGGTATGTGCCCTGACTCAGGATCAGATCTGTAACCTCTTGGTATATGAAATGATGCTCCAAGCAACTAAGCCACCTGGCCAGGGCAGAAGCTCTATAGTTTTTAAGTTTTTATGCAATATCTATGTTTTTATTACAACTGTAATTTCTACTGTAATAAGCAAACTAAGTTGAATAAGCCATCATTTCTACTGTAATAAGCAAACTAAGTTGAATAAATTTTACCTCATGATACTTTTATGACAAGTATCATGAGATAAAAATATGTCAACCACAAGCATCATGAGTTCCATATTCGTTACCTCCACTAGAAATTAAGGTAAAAACATAATAAATCATATTCTCTTCGTGGCTATGCATTTAAAAGATGAGTATAATCATGTGGCTCCTAATGCTTACAAGTACAATTAGGTTTTCTGACTCCAAAGACACAAGCACAAACTTGTAAGACACTTACACACAAAAGTTGGTAATGTGACCTAAAATGCAATCCAATTCTCTTACCTCCATCTGTGCCATCAGGAATAGTGGTCTGTTGGACTGAAGATGATGAAGTGAACCTGACAGGAACTTTGCCCAGCTTCTGGGAACTGGGCTTTGAAATTTCATGTCCATGATCTTCACTATTAATAAAAATCTCAGATGAAAACATAGCTTTTCCTGGACTTTCTGTTGTAATCTGTGTGACTGCATCAGATGACAATTTTCCAGAGAAGGCAGAAGATGAGGGTTTAATCTTCTCCAGTGATCTGAACAAGTAAGTGAAAGGGACAGCAGGTCATATCCTTGGCTTATAGAATACCGTAATATCTTTCTAAAAGTGGCTTCTAGGAATACTTAAGTATTTTCAAGGAATGTTTTGTGCATACATACCAACCTTAAATGGTTATTTCTGCAGTAGCCTTTGTTTTCTTACATACTTATTATACTGCAATCATGCAGTTTACTTTTGTTTGCTTTAAAAATCTGCTTTTAATTTAAATCAATGCTATTGCATAATTTAGCTAAAGAAAGAGTATTTTTCAGTTCAGCTGAAAATCCATCCATTCATTCATTTTTATAAAAATTACTAGAGGTCCCGTATAAATTAGGGGACTGTGCTACATGTATAAAGTACACAAAGACAAACAAGAAAAAAGCCTTCCCTCAAGGTGTTTATGTCAGTGGGGGAAACAGAAGTTTTCAATGTTGTAATTACATATTAAGATTATAGAGAATGAATATTAAAACAGAATCATTAAAACAAATGATTGAATAAATATATAACAGGAGAGAAATGACAAATTTTGCCTACAGAAGAATTCCAAATAATAAATGTAGATTACCATCTTTCTACCCTAGCCAAAGGAGGTGAAACTTAATCTCTCCTTCTCCCTTGAGTATGGATTGAAACTTAGTGGCTGGATTCCAAAGAACAGAATATAAAAAGGGAGAAACAGGTCACGGGGCTGGTATGGTTCGGTTGGTTGGTCGCCAGTTCAATTTCTGATCAGTGCACATGCCTGGGCTGTGAATTTCACCCCAGGTCCAGGCATGTAGAGAAAGGCAACTAATTGATCAATGTTTCTCTCTGACACGGAAGTTTCTCTCCCAGTGTTCTCCCTCCCTTCCCCCTTTCTCTAAAAGTAAATAAATAACACCTTAGAGCAACTATCCTAATTATTTTGAAACGTAGAGAATGTGCACTGTGAGAGTAGCAACAAAGTAAGGATGCAAACGCTTACCATTTATACTCAACATTTTACTAAAGTTCTTAAATGATATCAGCAGTTAAAACAGGAAAAAGAATGATAGGAAGAAATAATGCTGTTCTTTTCATATTTGATATAATTTTGAGAGAAAATCTAAAACAATATATAGATCACTTATTAGAATGTGTTTTTAGAAAAATTGCCAGATGTAATATAAAATTATTTTCAAAAATATACATTGTTCAGTATTAGAAATTATAAAATTGAAAGCTAAAAAATACCATATACAATATTATTGAAAAATAAAATACCTAATAAGTATACTAAAAGATATAAACACTCTAAGTAAAATACTATTAAAAATGACAGATAGAAATTAAGGATAATCTAAAATAGGATCCACTTCTAGGAAGGTTGTTGTAGTTAGCCACAGGCCATCATTTCTACTGTAATAAGCAAACTAAGTTGAATAAATTTTAAAAATCATACTAAAAAAAATCAAAGTGTTATGGGATCAATAGGAAAACAATGCCAACTAACATGCTAGAGAAGGGCATCTTAGAAATTATGGGCAGGTGCTTGGTATAAGTAGACACACTCCACGGGTAAAAGAGAAACCAACAGAGTTTTTGCTGAACCCAAGGGTTGGCAGGATAGAGTGAATTCTAGCAGAGTGCCAAGCTGATTTCCCCCACAGGTCATTTCCTTAGTGTTAGAGTGGTATGGGAAGATGGGGAACTGAGCCAGAAAAGCAGAGTGAAATCTCCTGCATAGTCATGGCACCAATAACAAACTAATTCCCACTAAATCATAGGGCTTATGATAAACCTTAGGTCTCCTCACATTTGCCAGATTTTGAACCTGCATAAGGCAGGAGGCTAAATAACTAATGCCTGATGGGGAGAACTTTCAAGGTGAAAAATAAGAGGTCCACCAGACTCGTAATAAAAAACCAGAAGTGCTGCCCCCAAGAATGGAGCTGAGAAAATAGTGAAATACACCTGTAATCTTTTGAGTGCTTATGAGACAAATTTCCATTGAGAAAGTATAACCACAAAAATACATAACTGGTGTCCCCTTACATTCTAAAGCTGGGAAAGCTGAGAGTCCAAAGAGCTGAATTCAAACATCTGAAAGACTAAACTGAATATCTCACTATAATTAATTACTGAAGAATAAAAACCATGTCAGCTTAAAACCAAAACCCAAACCAATCATTGACAATCAAAGGAATAATGAGTCAACTGAAGCTCCAAGCCTACTCTGACCTAGTAAAATTCCTGAAATTTTGTTCAGGCACTGTATCTGATTAACAGAGAACAGGGCAAATCCTTTCTGTTGCAAAGTGACAGCATTTTCAGTCTCTATAATTTTTTCCATTCACGATGTCAAGAATACAAGCAAAAATTATAAAATCTGTGAAGCAGAAAAAAGTAAAAATTGAGAGAATACAGAAATTGATTTACAGGGGATTTGGATACCAAGGTTAGCACAGAAGTACTTTATAATGATTATTAATGTACTAAGAGACCAAAAGATGAGTGATAATAAAAAATATAAAGAATCTCAACAACAAAAAAAGAATCTCAACAGAAAATTACAATCTATTTTTAAAATAAAATAGAAATAAATAAAAAGGCACTAATCCCCAACAGATCTCAGGAAATGCCAAAAGTTTTTCTTTTTAGGCTAAAGTTAAATGATCCAACAAAGTAAAGAACTGCAAAGAGTAAAGAATAATAAAGAGCACTTAATAATGAGTATCATATACATACACGTTTTATATATATAGTTATGTACTATATTTCACACACACACACACACACAGTGGAGTAAACAAGGAACAGTAACAATGTCTTGTGGGAATTTATAAATATGTAGAACAGTGGAGAATCTTGGTAGACACCACTTTAGCCCAGAGATCATAATGTATAATGCATGTCAATATAATGTGCTCCCTAATAAGGGACATTAAAAATGCCTAACCTTGGCCATGACTGGGTAACTCAGTTTGGAAAAACAAATCTGATGTTTTTCTTTCTCACTCTCTCTTAGAATTCAATTTTAAAAAATGCCTAAACTCAACCTAATCTTGACACAACATCACACAGCCAAATCAAAATACTTTCTCCAAAATAACTAATCAATTCTCTTCAAAGTGGCAAGGTCATGAAAAGTAAGGAAAGACTGAGAAACTGCCACAGATTGGAGGAGATTAAGGAGATATGACCACTAAAACAAAGGATGGGTTTTTAGACTGGATCTGAAACAGAGGTGGTTCATTTGTGGAAAAACCAAGTAAAATCCAAATCAATCTATACTTTAGCTATAATTTTATATGAAGGATACTTTCCAAGTTTTGGTAAATGTTTTGTGGGTATAATGTTATTATAAGATGTTAACATAAGCAGAAGCTTCTGTAAAGGGAATACTGGCAAGCTAAGATAACCCCCAGTGATCACTGCCTCTTGGTATTCATACCCCTGTGTAATCCCTAACCCTTCCGGGTGGGCTAAAAATAGTGATTCATTTCTACCAAACAGAATGCGGCAGAAGTGGTGAGATTCACTTCCAAGATTAGGTTACAAAAAAACTGTGGCTTTCATCTCAGGCACCCTCTCTTGCACTCTTACTTGCTCTGCTCATTTGAGGGAGGGAAACTTAGCTTTCATATTGGAGCAGCCTCATAGAAGGAAGGAACTGAGGTTTCTTGCCAACAGTCACATAAGCAAGCTTGGAAGCATATCCTCTCAGTCAAGCCTTGAGATGAGACCACAGTTGCGGCCAATACATTGATTGTTTGCAACTCTGTGAGAGACCCTGAGCCCAAAGCACTCAGCTAAGCTATGCCTGTATTTCAGACCCACAGAAACTTTGGGATAATATTGTTTGAAGCTGCTATATTTTCAGGTAAATATGTTACACATTGATAGATAGTACAGGGACTCAACTATTTTTTGCAACTCCTCTTTAAGTTGCAAATTATCTCAAAATAAAAAGTTTTAAAAATATTTAATACTTGTATGTTTTATCCATACAAACACACAAAATCATACCTTGCATAATAATGGGGGTACATTCTGAGAAATGAATCCTTAGGTGATTTTGTCATGTGAATATCATAGAGTGCACTTACCCAAACCTAGGTGGTATAGCCTACTTACTACACACACTATATAGTATAGTCTATTATTGTTCCTGGGCTATAAGTCTACACAACATGTTACCATATTAAATACTGTGGGCAACTGTAATACGGTGCTAAGTATTTGTGTGTCTAAACATATCTAAAGACAGAAAAGGTACAGTAAAATATAGTACAAATGATTTAAAATGGTATAAATGTACAGGGCAGTTACCATGAATGGAGTTTATAGGACTGGAACTTGCTCTGGGTGAGTCAGTGAGTGAATGTGAAGGCCTAGACTGTCGACTTTATACACACTGTATACTTAGACTACACTAAATTTATTTTTAAAACTTTTCTTTCTTCAATAATAAATTAACTTTGGCTTACTGTAAATTTTTACTTTTTAAAATTTTGACTTTTTTTGTAACAGGACAGCTTAAAAAACACAAACACTGTATAGCTGCACAAAAATATTTTTCCTCATATCTTTATTCTATAACCTTTTCCTATTCATATATTTTTTATTTTAAGACTTTTTGGTAAAAATTAAGACACAAACATACACATTAGCCTAGGCCTACACAGGGTCAGAATCATCAGTATAACTGTCTTCCAGTTCTCCACTGTGTCCCACTGGGAGGTCTTTGCAGGCAATAATAGGCACCTCCTATGATAATAATGCATTTTGGATTACTTCCTGAAGGACCTGCCTGAGGCTCTTCTGAGGAGGTGGCACTCTTTTTGGAAATATGTCCACGGTGGTTTTCTTTGCTGTTTTTTTTTTCCATCATATATTTGCTTGTAAGGAGAGAATGCCCCATGAATATTCCTCTCTACTAATGAAAACATTTCAGCCTCAAGGTCCATGTTTTCAAAAATATTTAAGGAGCTTGTTGAGGTCTGTAAAAGCTTCTGGTAAACCCTTCACTGTAAATTTTCTAGGAATTCCTCTTCCGCAGTTTTATTTTCTCTCGCCTCTTCTTCAGCTAAGCATTCCTTTTCCAGTTCTAACAAATCCACTAATTCCTGAAGAATTAGTCAATTCTTCTATGAATTCCTCAATGTCATCCTCACTCATACCCAGGTTACAGTTTGTCACCTCAACCACAACCTTGCTATTTTTGCAACCTCATCTTTGGCAACTCATCTGGAGTCACAGATGTCATCAGGCAACAAGAATTTTTCAGCTCCATTATAATCTTATTAGACCACGGTTGAATAGGCCATCCATCACTGAGCTAAACATTGTTATGTGGTGTATGACTGCATGTATAGTTTGAATTATGTATGAACTCCAGAGTCAGACACACCTAAGTTCAAATGCTACCTCCAACACTTAATCCCATGCACTGTTGGGTAAAACAGTTAATTTTTTTAAGTATTAGACTTTTTAAATCTATAATTGAAGTAATACTATCTATCTCTGATTATACTATCTCTGAATAAAAAAATGATATAGGCAACCACTACAATGCCTGGGATTTAGTACATTCTGAACAAAGGGCATTATTAATAGTTGATATTTATAATTATAATTTTCTTCTCATTAAAGGAACTCAGATCCAATAAGTATTTTATTGCTTTGATGAGTTTAAGTAATAAACTTGTCAATCTTTTAATTTCTAAAAAATTTTCAAAAAAATTATCAATACTGGTTTCTACTGCACCTTATTATTTACTATATTGAAACTACAGATTCACTGTTTGTTTGCTGTTTGTTTTGCCCAAATTCAATTCTCAAATCATTAACTTTTAGAGCTGAAGGGATTTTTCAGGATATAAACCCTTTCCCTTCCTCCATTATCCACATGAATGACAAAGATATTAAATGGCTTGTCTAAGAAGATAGTTGGTAGAAGAGCTGGAAGTAGGGTTCAACATTTGGAGAGAGAGAGCAGTACCATGTGGTGAACAAACTCTTGCTTTGATTAAACTTACTACATTTGAATGCCCCATCTGCTCCTTACAAACAGTGTTATTGGAGACAATGCTGTTTGCTGACAAAGTAGCAATGTCTATGTCTCAGTTTCCCAGAGTGTAAATATGGAAACTACCATCTATCCCATAGGGTTATCATGAGTGTTAAATGACATAACATGTTTAAGTCTCTCATTGCCAAGACTACTACATGTGGATGTTGAAAAACATTTTTTCCCTTTCCCCTTTCCAAGGCTAGTGCTCCCCATTGTGACATGCTGGCTTTCCAACTCTAAGATGGAAACACTAAATGTATAGGGTGGTTCTTTTTAGCCGTAACAGAAAGTTATGAATCCCTTGTAAGAGACTAATATAAAACTGAATTAATGGGCCTTAAAATTAGGCTATATAATATAAATCTAATGCATCCCCCCCAAACTGGGTTTCTTTCATTATAATACATTGTGAAGTAGGGCATCACCTGAGGGAGCACATTATGCATTACTGGCAGTGTTAACCTTGATTACTTTGCTAAAATGATGTCTGCCAGACTTCTCCACTGGAAAGTTACCTTTTGACACTGTTTATACTAAATATTTGAGGGAAATCATGAAATGAAAATGAAAATGAAGAGAAAGAGAGAATGGAAGAGAGAAGGTACAGGAGAGCAAGCATGCGCATGCATCCCCTCCCAAAGGTGGTTTTCAGCATGTCTCCAACAATGAGGAACTGGTAGCTTATACCACTGCACGATCAAAGATTCTTCTCAAAGTAATTCAATGTTTTAAATACTCGATGCCAAGTTACTTTCTGGTATTCTTTCTTACTTTGGTATTTATCCCTGAAAGACTTCTAGCAGATTCGTCAGATATAATCTCCCTTAAGAGAATCATACTGCTTTCCCCCTAGAAACTTACATTTACTTAGTTATTTAAAACCCGTTATGACAAATTCCATCAGTTTGCTTGTCATCACAATGAGACTCACCGATCTGCAGATATTGAAGTCCCTTCTGGACTGGAATATTCTTCCAAATCTGAAAAATTCACTTGTGTTTGCCTTGATGTTACTATGTGGCTATTCTGAAAAGGTATGTTTTTTAAGTCCTTAGGAACAGTATTACCATCTGGAAGAGACTGCTTGACTTGAAAGTCCGGTGAAGATTTAGGTCCTAGAAAACCTAAAGATTCTTGATCATGTGGTCCAGGTTTACTGGTCAGTAATTTGGAGGTTGGTCCCAATGATCTTGCAGATATAGTCTGTAGGTCAGGATTAAACTCACTATTCATCTTTGTTTTAGAAGCAGGATCCAATGAAAAAAATTTTTTATCTAAGGATCTGCTATCAGTCTTAGGAGAAATAGTTATACGCACACAAGAAAGTGCTTTTCTATTTGAAGGTGGAGTAGATGGAGATATTATTATTGTACGTTGATTTGAGGCTGATTGGGAGACCATACTATTGACCTTAGTTTCAACATTTATGTTAGAAATGTGTGATTTAGGCTTATGTTGACCATTGTTTTCTACTACACAATCCTGACCTTGAGGAAGAGGGGAATATTGTTTTTTAATGTGGTGATCTATATCTGGGGCTTTGCTTTGTTCAAGGAGCTGACGTTGTTCAAGAAAAATGGAAGAAGGAAGGTCTGAAGCTACATAATCCTCACCTTGAGGAAGGGGAGAGTAGTGTTCTCTCATCTGATGGACTACATGTGGGGTTTTGCTTTGTTCCAAGAGTTCTCGTTTTTCAAGAAAAATGTGACAAGGAAGGTTTGGAACCACATAATGCTGATGCTGAGGAGGAGGAGACTGGTGTTTCTTAACACAGTGATCTGCGTGTGGGGCTTTGCTTTGTTCAAAGAGCTCTTGTTGTTCAAGAAATATATGTGAAGGAGGATTTGGAGTTAAAGTTACATTCTTCTCTTTTACTCCTAGTGTGGAACTTGGTCTGCCCATGCTAATGAGAGTATGCTTATCAGAGAAATGAACTTCTTTGAATTTGCTACAATTTGTACTGGGCTCGGAATGACTGCCTTTAAAATCTGAGTTTTCTAAAAGTTTCTCTTGGTGGGAATGTTCAACAGATAGTTTTTGGCCTTGGCTACTACTTTCTGCTAAAATAGTCACAGCTTTATCTGGTGAATGACTAATGATTTTCAATAATGATGGGGAAGAAGTTTTCTGTTTTAGATCTCTAGGTGGACTTTGCTCTTCAGTGAAATGAGAATTAAATACCCCTACAGATGCTCCAGTACACTGGGTATCTTCAGTAACACCAACCTTAAGAACCGAGGAATCTGAAAAACATTTAGAATGTCGGTGAGATGAAAAAGTGATGGAAGTAAACTTTTTCATGGATTCTGGGGGCAGCGTTTGTGATGAAGAATGACAATCCATTTCTTCAGGTGGCAAACAATTAGGTTCTACTAATTCTGACAGCCAGGGGTCCATCTTTTCACGGAATGGCATTCGAAAATCCTTGCTAATTCTGAATTCATCACCTGCAAAGTTTTGAAATGGGGAATGACTTTGTAACTGCAAGGAATTACAAACTTTGAAGTGGGGGTTGCTCTGGTCTAGTGATCTGGAAAAGTTGATGTGTCTGGGTCTCCATGATAATGGGCTCCGTTGTCTTCTGATAATTTCTAAGGGTTCAGCTGATCTGAAGACACAGGAATGGCTGTCCAGCTGTGGTTGTTTGGCTGAGAGAGTCCTGAAACACCCTTTTTCATGGCTCTCAATAATAACATGACTGCATACAGCTTCTGGCTTGCATCCTATTCCCCGTGGACTCTGTAAACCCTAGACAATATAAATAAGATTTTACTTGAAGTAGTACTAATATTTATACAAAAATCACTTTGTTGATGTTTTACAATAAAACAGGTAAGAACACAAGAGTAAGACAGTTAACTATATAATAAAGTGGCCCACGATGACCAAGACCATGCAGCTAATTTCTTCTGCAAATTGTTCACAGAAGTAACAACAGCAGACTACCACTGTCCCCAGTATTGTCACTTTTTTTTTTTTTTTAAAGTAATCACAATTCCATACTCCAGCATTTTCAGGTCCCATGGCTACCAAGCTGCAGATATTTCCAGTTTCATTTCAAGGTAGGAATGAATATGTGACTAGATTTAGGTCAATGGGATATGAGCAAAAGCAGTTAAGTACAAATTTTGCTTCTTGTCCTTAAAAAATTAAGTTCTAAACTTTCATGTTCAACCTACTACCACCATCACTACAATCACCATTACTATTGTCAATTGAAATAGGTGATATCTAGAACAACCTTGCAAACCATGTAAAAGAATGATTCAACTGCCCACCCAGCTTGGGTCCTTGGATAACCTCAAGGAGCTTGCTTCTGTTCCTACCCTAAACTATCATGTTAAAAAAAAACAACCAAAAACTATCATATAAATGAAAAATAAAATTCTACCTTATTTGAGCTATTGTATTTTGGGATTTCTTTGTTAGAGAAGCCTAGTGTGGTGCCACGTGAATGGGAGCCTTTCTGTGCTTGTTACAAATGCTTGATCCCCCACCCCCACATTGGGTGACCCCACAGAGCCATCTGTGTGCTGCCATTTAGGCAGCAACCCCTATGATAGGATGCTGAGTGGACTGGTGTTTGTGGATGGCCCCTAGAGCGGACTGTTAGACATAGCAGTGGTACCTGGAGAGGGGCCTGGGCAAAGGGAGTAGAGAAGGCCTCTTTTCTGGTCTGAGTTTTGGCTTTGTATGTACACCACCTGAGAATGGACGCTGCGTTCAAGTCGTGTGTGTGGCCTCTCCCTAATATCTTACCTCTTAGAAAAGAAAAAAGAACTAGCAGCTCCTTCTCCTGGGGTTGAAGATCAGTATCTAATGCTACCATAAATATAAGTTTTCTTTGAAATTTCAGTGTCTTACCTATAAAGTTGTGATTTGGCATTCTACTGGATAATACAGCCACACTCGATATTATATAAAAATATTTAAAAATATGCTGTCACTTCCAGCATAATGCAGTAGATGTGATTTTGTCCTATTCTACCTGCTAAAGTCCAACAAAAAATCCTGAATATTATACATAAAACATACTAAGAATCTGAAAGATGTAGAAATGAAGGCAGACTGGCTAGGGACCTTGGGACCTGAAGGAGGACATGATAGTAAGATCCCTGGGTTCCCTTTTTTACCTCATATATCCCCAGATTTGGATCTGAAAAAGCCAGCAACCCCAAAACAAAGGGCACAGACAAAAGCTTTAATAAAAACCTACTCTTATTAGCTAAAAAACCAGTAAAGGCGAAGTCTAGAAAGACAGAAAACTTTCAGACAAAAACTGATCTATTCCAGCCACACAACATAAGAAAAAAAGTGGCCTCACCCCTACCCATACCAGTAAAGTCTAAGAGAGGAGCACAGACCATGCAGGAGCCCAGAACTTATTTATCTCCCTGTGGTGTTAACTGGAGACCACACAGGAAGACTGGATCTTCATTCTTATTCAGCAATAATGAGGTGGCTCTCTACCCAACTGAAAAAAATTTGCAAATCTCATATCCAATAAAAGACTTGTATCTAACATATACAAAGAACTTTCAAAACCCAGCAGTTTTAAAAAAGAAAGAATTCCATCAGAAAAAAATGGGAAAAAAACCTCAAATACACTTCACTAACAAGGATAGAGAAGGGAAATAACATCATGAAAAGATGTTCAACATGATTAATCATTAAGAAAATGCAGCCCTGATTGTATAATTCAGGTGGTTAGAGTGGTGTCCTATTACACCAAGGCTGCAGGTTCAATCTACAGTCAGGGCACATAAAAGAATCAAGCAATACATGTATAAATAAGTTGAACAAAAACCTCTCTCCCATATTTTCCTAAATAAGTAGAACACCCCCCCCCAAGGTCAATAAATAAATTTTAAAAAAAAGAAAAAAAAAGCAAACTAAAAGCACAATGAAACACCACTACAAACTTATCAGAATGACTAAAATAAAAAATCGTGACAATATGAAATGTAGGTGGGGCTGTGGAGTAATGAATGGAATTATTCACACATTACTGGTGGGAATGTAATACTGTACAACCAACCTAAAAAATGGTGTGGCACTTTCTCAAAAAACTAAACATTACAACTGCCATATGACCCAGCAACAGTGCTCCTGGGCATTTATCCCACCAAAATAAAGATATATGTTCACCAAAACTCTGCACATGTTTAGAGTAGCTGTATTTGTAATAGCCAAAAACTGGGAAACAACCAAGATATCATTCAGTAGGTGAATTTTTAAACAAACTGGTAACCTCTATACCATGGAACACTACAGAGCAATACAAAGAAACAAACTATTGATACACTCAACAACTTAAATATTCTCCAAAGAATTACACTCAATGAAAAATGCCAATACCAAAGGTTACATAATGTAGGTTTTATTTATATAACACTCTTTTTTTTTTTTTAAAGATTTTATTTACTTATTTTTAGAGAGAAGAGAAGGGAAGGAGAAAGAGGGACAGAAACATCAATGTGTGGTTGCCTCTCACATGCCCCCTACTAGGGATCTGGTCTGCAACCCAGGCATGTGCCCTGACTGGGAATCAAGCTGGTGCCCCTTTGGTTCCCAGCCTGCGCTCAATCCACTGAGCTAAACCAGCCAGGGGTATATGACATTCTTGAAATGACAAAATTAGAGATGAGATTAATGAATGCCAGGTTAAGAAAGGGATAAGAGCTAGAGATAAGTAGATGAAGTTATTAGAGAACAACATAAAGGACATTTGTGCTGATGTAAATGCTAAGTATCCTGATTGTATCCTGGGCCAATATCCTGGTTACAATATGTTATTACAGATTTGTAAGATATTACCATTGATAGAAACTGGGTAAAGAATAAAAGTGATCTATTCATGTTATTTCTTACTACTATGAACCTACATTTACTTCAAAATAAAATGTTGAATTTCTTTAAAAGACAATTAATTAAACACCATAGGACAAAACTAATACTTTAGAGAAGACGTTAGATTATGGTAGAGTAGTAGAAGTTACATTCACCTCCTCCCAGAACCAAACCAGAATTATAACTTATTATAGAACACTCAACCTGAATAACCAACTGTAGACTAGATGAACAGAAGTCTTATAACCAAGGATTTACCGAAAAAGCCACACTGAGACTGGTAGGAGGGGTGGAGACTCAAATTCAGCAGGACCTGCACCCATGTGTGGTGGCTGAGGACCCAGAGGGATAATCTCAGGTGCAAAGATCCACCTATAAGGAGTGAGGGGCTCAAACATGTGCCAGGCTCCTCAGCCTGGAAGATCAAAGCACAAAGGAAGAGCCCATATAACATCAGGATGTGAAAATCAGCTAGGATTATGTCTGTCAGAGGAGGGAAGGTGGCTCAAAGAAGCCCAGAGTCATACAAGAAGAGAGTGGATTGTGTGGCTTCAGGGAGAGGGCCAAATAAACAGCTGCCAAGGTTCCTGCACTGAGTCCCTCTCCCAAACCACCCATGGAAGCCATCTTTCCTGGCTTGAGGACTAGACCTACCATCCCAACTTGTGGCTCTGCCTGTCCTGCGGAAGAATCAGCTAGCTAAAACTAGGCTGGGGCAACAGCACAATCTTTCTTGAAGGCTGTCCAGGAGTTCTGGGCAGATTCAGGGGATGGCAGAGATCCACAGGGAGAGACTTGAGTTGCATGGCTGTAAGGTGAGGGCCTTTCTTCCCTCGACAACCAACTGGCACCACAGGTCTGTGCAGAGACTTCCTTCTATACAACCAACCTTGGCCTGTTTTACCCTGATAAACTCAGCTGGCTACATGCTGATGACTGCATGAGGACCCACCCCACCAAAAAGATCTGTAGGTGGCAGCAGGCCTTGGTGCACATTGAGATTTTTGTTGAGTGACCTCATACTCAGCACTGGCACTTACTTTGAATCTGTATCAACCTGGTGACCACCACTTGCCCCTACCTGGTGACTCTCTGAGAACCTACCTTATATAACTCCCATACTGCCAGAGGCTCTTTCAGTGCCTTGGTATGCAGCTGGGCAACTCCCATGCACACCCAGGCCCAGCAGAGGTAGCCACAAACTGTGGATCGCTTTGTAGCTCCAGACAGCCCAGGGCTGGTCACAGGCAACTTCTAACATCGATCTGCATTGGAGTCCCTCCCATAAGGCCTGAAAACCAACATACCCTGGTGGCAGGCTATAGGCCCAATCAAGGAATGACCAAATTAGCTTTACAGGTGGCCTACCCAAAGGGAGATCTCAGCATGAACTAGAACCTGCACAGCCACTTGTACACTGTGGTTGGGGGAGGGTGTCAAAACTCACAGCCAGCCAGTCAGCCAGAGGATCTCCTATCCATGGATGGACCAAAGGCAATTGAGACTCAACTACAACAAGAAGGCTCACATAATCCACACAAGAAAGACTCCTGAAACAAGTAGCTCAGGTGATCAGAGACTCTGCAGCACTGAGACCCAGAGGACACCTACTACATACGGGCACCATAACAAGAGTGGGAGACATAGTAGATCTACCTAACACACAAAAATACAAAGCAGCCAAAATAGGGAGACATAAAACATGCCCCAAAGAGGCAGGCAAGGTGGCGGCTGGCAGACCCAGTGAGGTGGTGGCTTTGAGACTGGGCAGTTCCGCATTAGTGTGCAGATAAACCAGGAGGAACAACTGGGGAGCAAGATAGACCATGCAACCAGGGTTCCAGTACGGGAAATAAAGCTTCAAACCTCTCATTGAAAATACCTGTGGGGGTTGAGGC